CAATTGTGACTCATCTTTTGTGTACACGTGTTCTTAACACATACATATCAAAACAAAATAAATCTATGTTATTCACGCTTTTGTTTGCAGCAAAAACTGTTTTTTGAGTAAAAGTGCGAAAGTGAAAGGAAAACATTAATATGTGCAAAACTCATGTTTAGGAAAGTATATAATAATTGTCTGATTATCTACTTTACTTTGTTATATATTTGATGTCGAATTCGAACTCGAATGTCGAACTCGAACTTCGGACGTTCGTGTGCGTAACATTCCTAACTCTACCTACGTATGTGATTTCGTAACGTTTTTTGGTGATTTTGTTTTATTTGCAGAAATTTTTCAAAAAGTCAGAACTCAAAAGTGAATGAGCCGTTTTATAGACAATTCAATTCTCCATTGACTGACTTTGCTTTGAAAAGTTTTAGTGAAAATCTCTTGGTTAGGAAATTCAAAACACTGAGAGCTACTTTTTGCATATTTTTTTTATAAATTTAGTAAAGCGGCTCTCATTGTTTTGAATTTCTCAATTGTAGAGAATTAAGATGACTACAAAATGGCTCATTCACTTTTGAGTTCTGACTTTTTGAAAAATTTCTGCAAATAAAACAAAATCACCAGAAAACGTTACTGAATTACAGTTAGTTGGACAGCCGTAATGTGACTGGATTCTTATTTTGCAGTAGAGTTTAAGAAATTTTTTTTGCTAAAAGAATCTATTCCCTATAAGCAACAGAATATCCATTGCTTTCCTAGTCCACGACACCGCATTTTATCTCGGTGTATACAAAAATTGCACAGTATCTGTCAAGGTGATTTATCCGCTAATTAGGCCAGGAAAATAAAATGAAGTAAAAACTAAATCATGTATTATGAAAGCTGCAGATGCCTGCTATAATCAGCCAGAAAAGTGTTAATTCAAAAAACTGAACAATGAAGAAGAAAAAAACGTTTTTCATCAACAGGCGGCGCTAAAAACAGAGGGTTTACATATTGTGAGACCCATATCTTCTGATCCAGACAAGATAAAATTGTGACTTTTTTCTGTAGTAGTAGGCAATCTATAGAAAAACAATACAAAAACAGAAAATATTTGGAATTGAATAAATAGAACGCGAGCTTTCGGCATTTGCATTTCGGATCGAAATAGTACAATGGGAATGCGACCACCTCAAATGTAATAGTATATTGTACAGTTTTTTCCTGGTCTTGTTATTTGATGGTTGGTTTTCATCAAAAGTTCGATGCACGAAAAACAGACCAATTGACAGAGACGCACTTAAAAGATAAAATATTTTTACATGCATCAGCAATACTTGAACTGTTGTCAAATCGTGACAAAGATTGTGATTAATGTACTGTTTCTTACTTCGAATATTGTACCTAAAGCTCTCAGAATATATTCGTGTAGTTTTTCGTTTTATCTATTTATATATCTAAGTATTTTTTTCGCTCCCATTTTGTTTGACGTTTGTTAATTTTTCTGATTCATTTGACTTAGACATCGTGTATTTTTCAAATTTTAAAAAAATAGAAGAAAATGCACAGGTGTATCTGTGATCATGTTTTAACAATCAATGATAACAGTTACGTTCATTTACCTAATATAGATAAAAGATATGCAATAATTTTGAACTAATCAGCTGCAGCAAATAAACACTTTTTAAGATGTGTTCATATGACGTTCATTAACGACACCGTTTCATGGACCTTGGTAGTTACGACCAGCTGAATCAGTTCGCTCAGTTCGGTAAAAGTATAAGGATGAGGATAATTTGGTAAATAACAGTGTTCATTCTTTTTTGTATGACATTCAAGATACAACGAAGAGATTTAACATCTATAATCTAAGGCCGCTCATCATGCGAACTGAATATCATTGTTTTCCCATCTCAGCTAATGAGTTTCGATTTGAGGATCGCTATCTCGTGCTTAGCCAATCGCGGCTTTTCCGACAAGGACGCGGACGATCTTCAAAACTTCTGAGCCAAAGTACTCTAGCCAAGACATTCAAATGCTTTAGATGACGCGACGTATCAATCAATGCTTTTTACTCTTTCATCTAGATGCTCTAGGTTAAGCATCAAGTTATTTAGTTGCATTGTTTGATGTATCGTTGAATAGTGATATATCTGTATGTAACCCGATGCAAATGTCAAGTCAATATTTTTTTATAACGAAAGAGACATTATGTATCGGTTCCTCTATAAAAAAAGGTTTTGTGGCAAACTCATACTTTTTTATTCAGAAAAAAGGTTTGGTGGCGCTGGCTTACCAGGACCCTTTGTTTAATTTTTTGGCCACTGAAGCATAGGTTCAAGAGCCCATTCTGGGCTCAAAAAATAGAGAATTTCCTGCTGTACAACACACAATAACTTTGATATTTACATAGTATTTCGTTATCTAAAAAATAACAAATAATGAAGGCAAGTGAAAATGAAAAGTGTGATACTGTTAGAAAGAATTCTTGTTTTTGACGATACTCAAGCGCTTTGTAATGTGAAAAATAAAAGGCAAGTCAAAATGGTTAGGAAATGGATGAAAATGTTCATCGGTTTCTGGACTATCGTTGTGATGAAAAACATATACCTACGACTTCATCAATAAGCATTCTCACTTTTGTTGCTAAACAGAAAAGGCTGTGAAGCAAAGTATGCATACAAAATGTATTTCTAGAATAGAAAATTGACTATGGTTTGCACTAATGACAAATCCTTGAGACTTTAGTGTATATAGTAACTAATACGATATAAATCTCATTCATCATTTTTGCGATGCCGATCATTAACAAAAAATGATGGGAACAATGTCATTTTTAGAAATAAATTGCATAACGACAAAATTGTTATACTATGTAGCTCTAATAGGGAGCAAACTGGAATGTTCTTAAGTGATGAGAAAGGTCAAATACAAGAAACATTAAAGTCGATCCTTTCCATCGAAGCTTTAATCTTTACTTACCTTTATTGTTTGTTATTTTTTTGGATAACGAAAATGTAAATACCATAGTTATTGTGTGTTGTACAGCATGAAATTCTCTATTTTTTGAGCCTACAATGGACTCTTGAACCGATGCTTTAGTTCGCAAAAGTTCAAAACAAAAGTAGCCCATTTTATCTAGTATATCTGTTGGAAACACAGAAAGGCTAAAGCAACTAAGTAGCGGTCATGCTAAAGGGTATAGACAATAAAAATGCAAACGAACAGCTGTATCGCGGATGTCAGCGGAAAAAAAAAATGACTGTTGTCAAACAAAGTCTAAACAGGTTTCGTATGTATCTGAATAGGTTTTGTATTTATCTACGAAACTTTTCCTAGTTTCGTACATTGAGCACTAAACCTTTTGTTCTACGAAACTCCTAGAGATTCAGTAAATAAACGTGAAACCATTAAAAGTTCAGAAATGATCCACAAAACCTTTAAGATATAGTGTTTTTTTTAGAGAGTAGTGACTTGACTAGTGGCATCGCTAGACCATTAGTGCCTAGCGGCATTTCCGGGTAAACCGATCACATTTTGAGAAACTGTTCCATTCATCAGAACTTGATTGGTTTGCCCGGAAATGCCGCTAGGCGCTAATGGTTTAGAGATGCCACTAGTCTGATCCCATATGTTATTCTAAATCAATAGTTCTAACTATTAAGTTCTTACGAAAAATAATGTTCATAACGATTAGTCCATCATCAATCTCTCTCGAATATATTAAATATCTCTAATGTTGTCAGACAGCCGTAAATTGTCTAAAACTCTGTTCCTTTAACAATCGATTCATTTTCATCTACACTTTTTCTCTTTATTGCAACACTATTTGGTGTAACATGCCCAGTTTCAAATCTGTTTATCGACTCCTCTCTTAATCTCATTCAATTTTTTGTTTTGATTTATTGGACAGCTGATAACAAATATATACATTGATCAACAGACTATAAAAAAATATCACTATTAAGAGAGTTCATTGATTTTATAACCGCCTCATCCTAGAGTAAAATGAAAAAGAAATTAAAAATTGAAAATTTTGTACAAATTATTCATTATTACCAACCTGCAAACAGACGGTTAAAAAATCATTTAACGATATCAAACCATTTTGACTAACATCCCATTTCTAAACAGTCACAAAAAAGACAAGAGAGAAATGATGTGTTATATGATCGAAAAATATTTACTTCAAATAATTCATTTGTACGTTGTTCGATACTATTTGAAACATAAACTATGTTCAACTTCCGACCAGGAACAATGAGATTAAACACGGACGCTATTAATTCAGCTAATTCCTATAAAAATTATAAATTTATTATACAATAGATATAGGATTTTTTTTCTGATATTTAAAAGACGCACATTTCGAGTAATTTTTCCATCTTTGTTTATATCATAAAGGTTAAATACCCAACTAAGTCTATCTTCAATAGTACCATGAATAAGTAGAGAAAGGGTGATAACAAATTCCTGAAATAGAAGATGGATGATCCACCATTTAATTAAATATAAAAGATTTTTGTTTTACTTCAAAAGTAATAATACCAGTGTTTTGTCGATCAATATTTTGAAATAAAAATGATACATATCTGTAGGATGCTATATAAACAAAACAAAAAAAAAATGAAATAGAAAGTTGTACGTGTATCTATTACACTGTTGAACATATCTAAATTACCTCCATTCGGAAATATATTTGAGAATATATTTATAAACTTTTCTCTAGTCACGGTTCCCGATGGACACTCCTGAAAATAAATAAAAGAATATATTTATCATATTTAATATTTTCAGATAGATGTACTAATTTAGTATGATGAAACTTAACAATAATATTCATCTAAGTTTTTGTTAAAATTATTCAGAAAAACAATTGATTTTTTGTAACTTATTTTATTTACTTTGATATTAAATATGTGAAATTCTGTCTGTTTCTTTTTGGAAAATTTAATAGAAAATTTCATTATACAATTCTTATTGTCTTGTTGTGTATTTCTTTCAGTTTCTTAAAGATGTTATTGTTGTTTTTCATGAATCTTAATTAAATAAACAAAAATATCATTTACTTGTTTAAAACTTCGATATAAATGACGTAGTTCATCTTTTTGAAATTTTGTTGTTTGCATTAATTCTGTTATAGTTGATTTTGGTCGAGAAGTACGAGCTACAGTCGACTGATTCTCTAAATAAAAACAAATACTTTTAGTTTAAATAATAATTTTTATAGTTTAATAGAATTGTTTATCACAATAAGTATAACAAATCGATTAGTTTTATTATATTCGATGGAAAATTAAGATATATTTATGTCTATCGTTTCGATTTGACGTTTCTACATTTATACAATAAAATAAGTTGTTGTTTTTGAATCTAAGAATTATAAAGGTGTTAATGTGATCTTTTTTTCCTCGATGTATAGAAAAGATAAAAATGATAATGGCAGACAGATCATTTTCATACGACTAGGTTCGTATTTTTTAGAAAGTAGCATTTTATTATGAGTTTGCCACATGACGAGAGAGGTAAAAGTATTAGCAAAAAAAGAAAAAGAATGTTTTTTTTTTATTATTTGAATTGATCCGATCTAAGAAATTTTACGGTCGATTTCAATTTAGATAAAATCGGGTTGTTTTTTTTCTCATGAATTTTGAATTTTTGAAATTCTTTTCTTAGGTAAAAATGTTAAAGAACACTGACTGTAGGTTAAAACAAAATTAAAAAATAAAATACAAATTTATTATCATTGTGTGTAATTATTTTTATAAACTGTTAAGAAAAATTAATTTTTTAAAAATTTTAAGAGCGGATCTATTTTTATAGTCTCTCTTCCTGCCTACGGATCTGATACACAGTCTTTGAATCCCTGGAGAAATCAAAGTATTAAACGAATAGAATGTGTTATTTGAAAAAGCACTCTACTAATTTTCAACTCATGACGTGTGTAAAAATAAGTATCGGAACGATTTTCTTTTTTTTTTTTTCAAAAAAAAAGAAAATCTTATATGTCATGCCAAGAAAATTTGGGTAATTTACATTAATTATATCATGAACATAAAAATGTTTTGACAATGGTAGTCTTCAATCTTGTACACATTTTATGCAGTAGTTGATGATGAGATAGATAGATAAATTTAAAACTAAAATAATAATTATCATCAAATAGTTTCAATGAGACTAGATTAGTAATTAGTTTTTAATTATCATTTCTTTTTATTATACGACTTTTTTTTTCAATCACTAATAAAATCAAAATTCTATTAAGTAACATAGAAGTAGTTACATACCATTTCGAGATAGTTTGTCATGTGCATCATGACTACGATATCCAGCTGATCTAACAGCATTCATTATCTAAAATAGTAAACAATTGAAAATTTTTACTCTTGAACATGTGGTGATTGTAGAATAAGAGTAGTGTACATAATTATCAAAATATTAAATAAAAGGAATGCTGTATATATATATATATATAAAAATAGTATACAATCAGATTTGACATGTGACATGTAGGCCTACAGATATATAAATTTTCTAACCTACTTATCTACTCAATTAATTAAAACTATCTGTACTCTTTAAAATCTATTTAACCAAAGTTCATCATTATATAATTAAAATCAAAAATAAAATATACAATTTTTTTATCTTATGATTGCTAAAAATTTTAAACTATAGCAACATCTTCTATTGTTGTTATTATTTAATAGTTCTTTTTTAAAAATTTAATATTTCAAGCTTACTTGACTATGATATGATATGAATGATAATAATAATATATTTTTATATCATACTCGTTGAACGTAATATGAAGATAAAAGAATAGGAAAGACTATTGTTCGATTACATACCCAGACATTTGTCTATCGTGTAAGTCTCAACTGTCATATTTTTTTAAAATATTTTTTCTCCATTTTATCTAAGTCAGTGCTTTAGAATATTACAATGAGTAAACGATTATACTACAAACTTAATATAATTTTATTTTGTATATAAAATCAAATTAAGATTTTTAGTTAAATTATGTGCTGTCAACAACGCACGAACGAACTGTTCACTGTTGTTTTTTTCTTCCGTTATTTCTTCTTTTTTTTTTTTTTCACTTCCGTAACACCTTTTTTTATACATCTTTCTTTGTTAGCTGCTGCATATGGTGCAACAGGAAATAGTGAAAATCATGCACATATACTGTTTTTGATTGAAAAAAAAGAAGAAAAAAAAAAAAGGGAAGTTTTGAAAGTTGATCTTACTGACTCATAAGCTGTTTAATGTTATTATTACAAATTGTGTAGAATGAATAAAAAAGGAGAAAAAACAAAAGCAAACTACTACGCAGTTTAGTTAATTATTTGACATATTATTTTATGCTCATAAGTGATGCGCATAACATTAAAAAAAAAAATACATAAAAGAGTTTAATCTCAATATTGAGTAAAACCTTAACAATTCATCCATCTTAAAATTTGTGTGCACGAGATGAATAGAAACTTTTCCCTAGTTGAACTATATAATAACTAGAAATATGGAAAAAGTTCAATGACTACATGAATTAGATGAATATTTTCAATTTAATATAAAAAAGATAAGTCTATAAAGAAATATGAGTTTTAGATAATGTTTCTCTGTTTAGGTCACAAAATTATTTGAACAACAATCGAGAGTTACTTGCTCAAAGTCAAATAAGACTGACACAATTTTTGATTTTTTTTTTTTATCAATCTCTTGAAACTTTTTTATTAACATCTGTGCATTATATCTTCTTTGTCTAAATTAGGACACTTTCTCGACTAAGAAGTGTCATCAACAAAAGAAAATGATTTGACGATGCATGTCATTTATATTATAAATAATTCGATTGAACTAGCTGTTTTGAGCTTACTTTTGATTTACTCTTTGATTAAACTCATTTTTTGAACATGGTACAATCTATGGATAAAAAATAATTTGTCATCAGAATCATATAAATTGTGATGATTAGTACTAAAAACTATCCGTCTGTGTATGGATGCATGTAACGATTAGAAGTGACAAATATATGCTAACATTAACATTAATGTTGTTTGTTATTTTCTTATATATATATGTATGTGCATAAAGCCAGAATTAATCCAGAAAAGATTTGTGTTTTCAATCAAAATCCGATTCAGTGATTGTTCTACATTAATACTAATAAGAAAACGTCATATACGTGATGATAGGAATTTTGTTAACAGAATCTGTATTTCACATTAAAACATTCCATTCATCATTATTAACGAGTTTGTCCTGCGGGAATACAAAGTGTTTCTGAAATAGCTTCAAATAGATACTACTATACTTAGATTTATACCAAATAAAGTTAGTTTCCAAAAATAAAATAAAATTTTCATACAAAATTGATGTAGATTTTAAAGTTTATGGTTGAGTTTACTGTGTGCCTAATTATAGTAAAAAAGTTGCAAAGATTTGATGGATTATTGGGATGTCATAGTTAGAAAAATGACTGATTTTTATTTTATAGATTATTAATTATCTAAGAATATTTATGTATTTCTAAAACTTTAATATGATTTATTTCAAAAGGCAATGGAGAAATAGATCAGTTGCAGAAATAGTCTAGCAAATAATTTCGGAGCAGGCAACCAATCATAGTCAACATTTTTACATATCAAACGGATATGTCTTATTTTCATGATAAGTTCTAATTCTGTTCGAGTATCGATCTTCATCAATTAAGATACCCGTCTCATAAAAGCACATTATTTTAAAAAACTATTCTTTCAAAAAATCGCCTAAGGAGATAAAGGATAAAAATGTTTGAATGAAATTTGTTTTAGAAAACCTATTATTTATACGTCGTTATTCAGTACATTTTTTTTACATTGAGTTCAAATTTTACGTTCATTTTTATTAAAAATGTCTTTGAAACATAGCGAAAAGGGTTTTACGTGAAAAGCCTTATGATTCTCGAGAATCTATAATTCAATGAAGGGAAAACGATACTAAAAGTTGCTAGTGTCATCGGTTTAGCACATCCAGATTTACTTTGCTACAAAGTATCATGACGATTGGAGAGGAACAAAATGAGGCAAATATGTTATTTCGAACGAAGATTTTTGACAAATTTGTTTTTTTGCTAAGAAAACTAAAATTCTCAGAGACTTTTTATTCAAACTATTAAATTTTTACGTCATATTGTAGTCTGATAATGTTATATCTCATTAAATCACCCAAACAAATTTTTTAACGTAGAAATTCATAGTTAGAGGAGCTTTTTGACATTACGTTCTCTTAACTAATAACATTAGTTGAAAACTAATCTTTTTACGGCGACAGAAAAGAAACAGTGACAACATTTCTTTTGCCTGAAATAATACTTAATCGCTCTCTGCTATGGACTGTCTGATAGCAGTCACTTATCAATCACCAATCTTTCCTTCGTAAACCATTAATTCCTTGGGTGGGTTTTTCACTGAAAAGAAAATGTTATGGATGCACTTGTTTGAGGAAAGCGAGGCTTGAAAGTTGTTTAGTTTACTACTAGAATTTCAGACTGAAAAGAAGGAAATAGCAGTACTCTGTACCGCATTTATTTATGATTAAGTGATCATTTATACAAAAGTGTGATACTCATCAAGACTTTAGAGAATTTCTCTATACTTTTTTTCACGACATCTATACATTATTTTTTTATTATCGTTATCACTCGCTTTGTAACACTTCTTTCACTTCAATACGTATACCACAGAGATTTGAATAGCCACTGTTCGTTTAGTTTATCGTATTTGGAAAAAATGGCTATTTTTCTCTCAACAGTTATCACAATAAAAAAAAACTGCTTGTTCGAAATATACAATTATGGATAGAGGTGAGAATAAATAGCATAGAAGTTCAAAGAGTTTTGAGAATTTTTTATTTTTTTGTCGAATTTTGATTACACATCACGCACTATCTTCTGTTAAGAAGAAATCTCCACTTTTTGCGTTTAATGGTACTTTAATAAAGGGCATACTGTAGTCTGTGTATGTTATAACCAAAAATGTGTTATAAAGATTCAATCTTATAACTATATGATCATAAGAAAAATCGATAGTTGATCACATCTATAGATTGAAGTGCAAATAAAGTATAATTCTGTATAGTATAGTTCAGTTTGTAAAAAAAAAAAAGAAAGAAAAGTTCTCATTTTTTTTTCCTGATTTATGTGTAGAATATACGTTCTCGGACTCTTGATTATTTTCATTGAACTTATTAATCGATTCGCATAGTTCGATTTTGAACGATACTTTTCACGATAGCATCCTTCTTTCTTTCTTTTTTTTTTCTTTATCGATATAATTTTTTCTATTTCTCATCTAAAGATTGTTTTAAGTGTATCCTGGACAGATAGTTAGTTAGTTTTTGTCTGAGTGTGCATGTCTCTCTTTCTTCTCTCACTATGCTAAGTGAGTCGAACAAATGATGAGAAATAGGTTGTATTTTCCAATGTTTTTTCATTCTTCTTCGATTACGAAAGAAGAAATAAGAAAAGCGAAGATGATCTACAGGATGGAATAGCCACAAAGCCGCAGAACATATATACAACTCATTTATCCTTCTTAGATCGACAACATTTTTGCAGATATAGTTATATAGTTTGTTAATGTTCTTTTTTTTTCAGAAAAAGAGAACGTTCTATCTCCATGTGTCTGTGTGTGTTTGTGTCACATTGTATCGTTGATTGTTGTTATTTTTTACATTGTTTGGCCTCTAGAATAGCCACAATAATAGAAGGAAACACCTTGTTCTTACTGTATTGCATGTATGAACTTTCCCGGAAAAATGATTCCTGATGATGATGATCATCATTCATTCAAAAATAGTTCTCTTTTCTTCTCTCTGTTCTGTATATGTGTTCGGCATTAGAAATTTATAAGAAGAAAATATAGAATAGAATAGATATAGCGAGATTGAATGAATACTGCCAATCATTCTGAGAAAAAAAAGAGAGAAAATAATGCATACGATGAAGATATGATATGCAAAGATAGAGAAAGAAAATAGATATTAATAATTCCTGAGCATTTCATAAAATGCTAAATTAAGATTTTTTATTGCTTTGTATCGATGATATCTATTATTTTTAATTTATTGTTATTTATTTTTATTTATGTACCGTTAACATTATAATAACAATATTCGAATACATAATCATTTTTTTAATACATCGTCTAATACTCAATATTGGTTGTTCGATCAAGGTAAAAACATTCACTAACAATATTGACTAGATAAGTTGAAAATAAAGAGTCTTCATGGATATTTCTTGATAGTTGGAGAAAAAAGATATAGTTGATAAGAGATATTTTGTTCATATTGGACATATACAGTAA